AGCTGAGGAGGGTTTGTCACCTGACGAAGTGGGAGAAAGAGAGGGGTTCGGTGGCTGAGGATGAGCATCTCAAGACCAGGTGTGAGGAAGAGAGGGAAAAGGTGGAGGGGCTGGTGAAGGATCTGGAGTGTAGGGAGGTGGTCAGGAAGCAGAGTGGTACAATGGATTAAAAGATTGCATGAGCTAGGAGAATTTGAGACATAGGACAGTTTTGACAGAAAGAAAGATTGTAGTTGGAGATAGAAAAAAGGCTTGAACATAAGGAATCTCTCCGACTTGCCATTTTGGTGACAAAAGTTGTCTAGGAGAGTATCTAAATTGAGAGTGCCATCTTCTGGACACTGGGATCCATTGTCTAGTTTGTACTTAGGCCAAACCTGATTTCAGTAGAAAATGAAGCATTGGGGTTTTAATGTCTCCCTGGAGGCTGAGAGATTGTAGACAGCTCAGAGGCATAGTATGTGGAAGAAATTGGACAGGAGACAACCCAGAGGCGTAGAGTGTGGAGGTTTGGATTGTGAGGATCCCATTTAGAGAGTGAGAAAGGAAATGGGCAGTCCTAGTAGAAGAAGAGTGCCAACAAAGAGTGTTTTCTTTGCTGTGCACCTTCTTTTCAAGAGAAAAGCCACCGACTAGCTAGAGGAGCATCCTCCAATAGCTGCAGGGCATGAGAGGTGTTCCCTTGGCCGGGTGCCTGGGCTTCATAGCAGGTAGACGGTAGTCATAGACAGTAGTCCAGGGAACCCATAGAAGTAGGACTGACCCACTGCTTCACCCTGAATTGAGGCCAATGTTGAATGCATTGGTCTGAAGTGGCAAAAGGAGAGAGTCCTGGAGGTACCTGGTTCTGCCGGTCTGGGAATGGTGGCCAAGGGCCAGTCAACCCAGGTGGAGATTGTCCAAGAATGTTTGGCCAGAACTCTTCCTGGGTTTCGGGACCAAAATGAAAGAAAGTGAGCTGAAATGGAGGGCACCGATCAAGCTTTATTAAAGGAAAAAAATCTGCGGGGCTGCGCTCAAAATGGAGCAGCCGGGGCTGCTGTCAAAGTGGAGGACAGCACCAGGTGTGGGAGTGAGAGAGCTTATATAGGGCACCAAGGGCTGGCTGATACAATCAAGGAGGGGCATTATGCTAATGTGGAAGCTATGAGACCAGGGTAGAGAACTGCATGCTTGCAGAAGCAAAAGGGTTTCTGTTTCTCAGAAATCATGAGGTTTCTCATAAAGGGAATGGGGGGGGGTTAGGGCCATTTTGTTCTTGGCCTTGCCTAAAATGGCACTGGTTATGTTCAAACCTATCACTTTATTGTTTGGAAATGCTTTACTCTGTGTTTTAGTTCATTCTGAAAAATAATGTCCCACAAAATGGCTGAGTGAAGACATTTTAAAATAGAGAGCTCTGAAAAGACTTAAAATTGTAAGAAAGAGGTCAGATGTGAATCATCTGTATTTCAGCTGACATGAAATCAAGTTGGAATAAAACTTATTGTTACTTGTTTTTTTATTTTATTTTATTTTATTTATTGAATCAAAATTGATTATACATATTTTTGGGGTTCAACATTGAGATATGTTGATCAAATCAATATTACTAGCATATATATTGTTACCAATTGTAATTATTCTTTGTGCCCCTTGTCCAATCTCTCCTCATCCCTCTCTCCCTGCCCCCCCCCCTCAATTACCCTAGATTTTTTCTCTCCTTCTGAAATAATAATGGTTACTCTGTTAATTTGTTGCCTAGGTGATCTGTCCAATGCTGAAAGGTGTGATCAGGTCTCCCAATATTATCATAGAGCAGATGCTGCTTCTGTCACTCTGAATTGGGCTTTGTGAAGAGAGACGTCCTCTCCTTTATCTTTCACTGGGCAGGCCCCGAGCCACTGGCACGGAGTGCCTGGTTGTGGTAGGGTGGTCTGGTCCCCTTCTCCATGCCTTGGGTCCCCGGGTGGGCCCCGAGGTGCTGGCACGGTGTGCCTGGTTGTGGGAGGGTGGTTCAGTCCCCTTCTCCATGCCTTGGGTCCCCAGGTGGGCCCCGAGATGCTGGCATGGTGTACCTGGTTGTAGGAGGGGGGCCGGTCCCCAGATACATGCCTCAGGTCACTGGGTGCGCTCAGAGGCCCTGGCATGGTGTGCCTGGTTGTGGGAGGGGGGTCTGGTCTTTGGCTCCATGCCTCCGGTTCCCTGGCAGGCCCCAAGGTGCTGGTGGTGTGCCTGGGCCGGAACTAATTTTTTGTCCTTTGCTTACTTCTAAAATGGGGGAACATCCTGTGGGAACCAGTACTTGAGCTGTGTGGTTGAGGTAAATTGCTGCTTTGCTGCTGTTTCCCTAGGGAAGGCTTTTCGTGCAGCTCAGAGTTTAATGGTTGATCTTATAGGTACTTTTTGCTCTCCAGAAACTGGGTGGATCTGTGTTGTGTAGAAACTCTGATCTGGGCCTGAGTTTTTTCATCAAACTGCACCCCATGCAATTCTGCATTCCCGACCAGTCTCCTCTGAGTGGTCCTGTGCTGATTAGGGGGCAGATGGGCTGTCCTTGCTGTGCCCCAGTGTTCTCCAAGTGGGCCCGTCTCCCCCACCGCCCATGCTCCAAACACTTCCCATAGGACGGGCCCTCGTGATGACTCACCGGCCTCTGAATGGCTCCCTTTTTTCAGTTGTTCTGGCTCCTCGCTCCTGCGTGGGTCCACAGGAACCCTATTAGTGGTTTTGTTGTCCTGGGGGCCACCAAGGCCCTCTTCTCCCCTGCAGCCTCCAAGTACCTCCATCTGAAGGGCACAGCTGCGGCTTCTGCTGGCTCCTGCTCTATGCGCTGATCAGCTCCAGTCTTAAAACAGCCGCAGCACAAAAGGCTCAGAGCAGTTTTTTCTTTCTCTCATCATGGTTTCTCCCACCTTCATGAACTCGATAGGTCTCTCCTCTTCTTCCCCTGAGCTCCAGGGGCCCCAGCTTGGCTGATGTTACATTTTTATTGTTGTAAATTGATTTGTGGGAGAGAGTGACGCTGGGAACCATCTATTCCGCCATCTTGACTGGAATCCAAACTTATTGTTACTTCTGTTTGCTCTAACCATCAGCAAAAATGTTTGCTGAAGTTGATTTTGAATTTCGTTCATTCATTCATTGATTCATTTATTCATTTTTGGTAAGAAAATTCACCTCCATTTCCTGTTAGATTTGCAGCTGTGTTTACTAGTGATTGAGCTTTTATAAAATCTTATATTTTCTTTTGAAGGCATTGGTGAAGTTTACATATGATAAAGATTTAGAAAAGAACAAAAAGGTCTTTTACAAAGTTTTTAAAAAATATTTTGATTTGTGGACTGATACTCAGTTTATTCCACAAATAATTGTTTAAGTGCCTCATAAAAATGCACCAGACAGGTGCTTTTATTAGAACCTAACAGGAATAATATAATTCTTTACATATGAAACCATGAATTCTCTTTTAATGAAAATTAAATTTTGCATAAAAAGGATATTCTTGGCCAGTTTTCTTGACTAATGTGTTAATTTTTTATGCCACGGATTGACTATATGGTAGGTGAGTGTTATAGTAACCTCTTTCTGATGAGTAAGCACAACCTTTACCCCCTTAGCAAGATGAATATATTTTTATAATTTGAAATAGTAGCTTGCGTGTAGGACTTCAGTGTGTATCACTAAAACCCGAAACTTAATTTTTTATGTCACAGAAACAGACTCACTGCTAACAATTTAAACTGAGGCAACAAGTATGAGTTTAATTAAACATTTATTGAGAAAATATTGTCTACCTTTTAATTTTATTGTTAATATTATTTTGTATTCTGTAATAATTATTGCCACATAGTAGAGTGATTTGTCCTTCACTTTTGTTGGTCAGGTAACTGAGCAGAATATTTGCCTGCAGGCTCAAGTACATGCTAAATTCTGAAAAGCTACAGGATGTCCATCTCACTAAAAGTGCCTCCAAACAAGCAGGTGGATTTGGACCACTTGTGTGGGTGACCGAGTTTTTTAGTATGCATAAACACTTCCTGCCAGTTCTATTGCAGAACTTGCAACGTCTGTTAGTAAGTGTTGAATTAACAACAGGAAAAGGAACTACACTACCCAAACATGGGATCATGGCTGTGGGTTACTGCTGTCCTGACTTTCTTATTACCTATTACCTGATAACTCATAATTCCAAAATTTGTCTTAGAGAAAAGTCTCTGAGTCTCTGACTTTGGGATTCGAGCCCAGTGAAATGATAGGCACCTACAGTTTTTATTGCATCTCTCTAACCAAACCTCTGGGTATTCTTATAGCTTGGTAGTAAGTTATGTGAACTGCTATATCCACTAAAAGGTAGAGTTCAGCTTTATTGCAAAGAGAATTTAGAAGTTCTGTTGTTCTCATGTATTTACTCAGCCTCCTCTATCTGAGTTACGTGCCACTAGAAATAGCTCTTCTTTTTTGTATTAAGCAATAATCACTTAAAACTAAATGGGTTATTGTCTTCGTGAATAGGGTTTTTCCTCAGAGCTGAGTAGAAAGGCAGCCATGGTCCTACATATATGTACACCAGTCATTTATATGTACAGCTGAATTTTGAATAGTGTTCCCTTAAGTATATTACATGCCAATAAGCTTTTCCTTTTATTAGGTTTGCTAACAGATATCGGAGAAAGCACCATACCTTAGTCTTTTGGAAGCTATTCTCTTCCTTTTCAATCAAGTAAGACACATATTATTTGGGCTTCCAAATCCTGGGTTAATGAAAATTTTGCATTTGTGGATAACTCGATATTTTCCTAGGAAAGCACATCTGGTTTTGAACTAAACTTGAAAGAATTAAACAAATGAACAGCTTTACCAAGTGGCTTAAACTTTTACTCCTATCTAAATATGTTGGCTTTTGTAAACTGTTGGGGGGGGGTTGTTTTTTTTTCAATTTCTATCTCCTACTTAAGTGATATTAATAGCTGTGCTTATGTAATATCTGTGTTGTGTGTGTGTTTTTAATCTCTGTTTAGGTTGACCTGACAGTTCAAGAAAAGGAGAAATATCTTAATGTGTCTCGCTGGTTTTGTCACATTCAGCATTATCCAGGCATCAGGCAACATCTGTCTAGTGTTGTCTTCATCAAGAACAGACTATATACTAATTCCCACTAGAAGCATTCCATGCCGTACAGAAGAGTGAATAAAAATATTGTAAATGGAAAGCGTATTCTGGATCACAGGACTAACGTAAATTGATATGCGGTCACTCTTTATTTGTTGAAATTGATAGAATTTTTGAAGTGTAAAATTGTGTCTGAATGTTTTAGTTGTTCTTTAGTTGAAGTTGTGCAGTTTTTTCCCTAAAAATTCAACTGCTATCAAAACAGGCTGAGGTCAAGTTATAAGTTACTATGTTTTTATAGATGAAATTTATTTTAATAAAAGTTGCACATCAGTGGCTTAATCTTAAAAAAGTAGTTGTTCTTTAGTTGAAGTTGTGCAGTTTTTTCCCTAAAAATTCAACTGCTATCAAAACAAGCTGAGGTCAAGTTATAAGTTACTATGTTTTTATAGATGAAATTTATTTTAATTAAAGTTGCACATCAGTGGCTTAATCTTAAAAAAAAAAATAGGTAGTCCTTTCAGTGGTTGACATATATGGCTATTTATTAACCTCTCTTTCATATTTTTAAAATTCATTTTCCCCTTATGGATATTGATGGTAGTTTGTTTATTAAGAACTATGGTAAATTGTGCCAAGGATACAGAAAGGGAACACAGATGGATTTGTTTTCAAATATTTATGTGAGCTAGTAAATGTGGTTGACAAAATCATTTTTGTTTGTTTCTTTCTTTCCTATAGTCAGTATTCACTGGGGTGGAACTAACTACTGAACTGCCCTAGAGGGAACTGGAATAAGATACATTCCTCTTGAGTTAATGATTCTTTTTTGTTGCTGAGCTTATTGAATTATGCAATGGGTAAAAAGAGATGGGAAATTTTCACTATCCCACTAATTTTGGACTTATGATTACTAGAGTTTTCTAAATTGAAAGCCAACTCTCATAGAAATGCTGTTATTGAAACACTGTGCGGAGAACACAGAGACCCTTTATTAACAAATCTGTATTTGGTAACTCTTACTAGCTGAATAAGTAATCAGTTATTAAGAGCTAAAGAGCTTATCTTTCCAGATAATAAGAAGAGTCTTTGGGTACTTTACTGTTTAATGCTATTTAGTGTTTTGATACCAATGCTCAGTCTACTCAGTGTACAATTCACAGTTCAGATGGAAAGAGCAGGTACTTAGGAAATAGACAGCACTTCAGTTGGGTCCTGTTTTTATCATTTTCTAGCCATATTACCTTAAGTAAAGCAGTTAACTGTATTTTCTTAAATCGGTAAAAATAAAAATAAGTATGTAAAAATAAAGATAATTCTTTAAGTTGGGATTAAGGAGACAATATGTGTGGGAAAAGCCTGACATATAGCCCATGGCTATTGGTAAAGGTTAGTTTCTTTTCTCTTTTCCGGGCAGTTCAGGATTTTTGTTTGCATGTTTATAAGGAAATAGGGGTTTTAAGAGCCCCCCAATTTTGCCCTTCATGTTACTGAGTCGAGATTTAATAAGCCAAGTGTGAAAATCTCATATTTATATTATTGTAGTATAATACTATAATAGATTAAGACAATTTGTATGGGATTGGATGTCACAATTCATTTCCCTTGGGAGCATTTTTAATTTTATAAAATGGCCCTTAAATGAGAAACTGTGAATTTGTACTCACATTGCAGAGACTAGAGGGCTTCAGTTAATCTTGAGAGTTGTTGTGTATTTCATAGAGACAGGCCCAGTCTATGTACCTTTCATACAAACCCCTCCCCCAGCTGGCTCTGCTGTAAGCATCCCACAGTATGTCTCACTGCTGCAAATCGCCCCTAACACTTCTCTCTTCTCCCCCTGGACAGCAGGAGGAGTGACCCGGGACAGGTAGGGTCAACAGCCTTCCCATCCCAACTATTTTACTCTTTTCCTTCATTTTAGGTCAGCTGTGAGGGAAGGGGAGGAGGACAGAGAGGGAGACCATCTCTTTGCTCAGTGTCCCCTCTTGCTACTTCTACCTTGTGAGTCTTAACCCTCTGAATCCTTATACCTGCTAGTCAGTTCTTCATTGACGTGCACAACATTGATTTAACAGATATTACCTGGTACCATGATGTGCCAGGACATCCTGCCACTAACTTAGATCTTAGAGGATGAGGGATGGCAAAAGATAAAGACCTGGCTGCTGTAGCTAAGGGTCTCTTTGCTCAGTGTCCCCTCTTGCTACTTCTACCTTGTGAGTCTTAACCCTCTGAATCCTTACACCTGCTAGTCAGTTCTTCATTGACGTGCACAACATTGATTTAACAGATATTACCTGGTACCATTATGTGCCAGGACATCCTGCCACTAACTTAGATCTTAGAGGATGAGGGATGGCAAAAGATAAAGACCTGGCTGCTGTAGCTAAGGGTCGGGTAATTCATTTCCTCATAGTATTGCTACTGTGCTTCATGGGTCATTTCTGTCAGGTACTTGTCCTACTGCAATGCCCTTTCCTTGTCACTTGATAACCTCTTCAGTATTCAACTTTGTCGCATCCTTCTGGAAGTCAAGTCTATTCCAACCAACCAGTCTCCCCCAACCCCTGGTTCTGGCGCTGACATCATTGTACTGTTTTTGGCTCTCCGTCTCTGCTACCAAACTGTTAATTCCTTGAGAGCAGAGACTTGTCTTTTCCCCATGCTTATCCAGCCCTCAAAACAATGACTGGCACACCACAGTAGGTGCTCACTATGTGTTTGTTGAAAGAATGTATTGTTCTTCTGAGTTCATTTTGAGCTAACCAAGAAAAGTCTAAGTGTAAATTAAATTAGGTACAGCTATATATAGCAGAAAGACCAAATAACATCAAAGTGAATTGTTTTTCTCTTATGTCAAAGAAGTTCTGAGATAGTCCATGTTTGGTATGAAGCATACAGCTCCTCTCCCTGCTTCTTCATAACTAAGCAGGTGGTTTTCATTCTTATGTTCAACTTACGGTTCGATATTGGTGTCAGAGCTCCAGACACAAAGTCTGATTAAGACCCAAAGGCCGAGGGGGGGAAGGCAAAAGGCTGCACTCCCAACTGAGTCCATCCACCTGAAGGAACTTCCTGGAATCCCTGTTCAACTGCATCTATTTATATCTCTTTGACCACCCTAGCTGGGAGGAGGCCAGAAATGTAGTCCTTTAGTGGCACATTGCCACCCATAATAAAAGCTATGCTGTGCCAATGAGGAAGAAGGATAAAAGGGATACTAGGTAGGCAACTAGCTATCTCTGTCACATTGGTTAAATGGAAAATACTTCCTGAATGACAAATGGTCAGAAGACATTTTGCTGGTATGTTGACATTCTGTAGGTCATTGATATACAAAGAATTAGAATGTAATAAAACGTCTCTTCTCTGACAACAATTTTCATGATTCAGAAGCTAATTTCAGGGTCCTGCAATATGCAGTTATCATTATGAGGAGCTGTTCATGGATTTTAGTAACAATAATAATAGCTAGTATTTACTGAGCATTTAATGTATATCAGGCACCATTCTAAGTGCTTTTAAGTGAATTCACTCCTTTAATTATCCCCTTTTTGCAGATAAGGAAACTGAGGTACAGAGAGGTTAGGGAGCTAGCCCAGGATCACACAACCAGTAGTCATCAAGGGGCTGGGATTCAAACAGAAGTGTTTGGCTCAGATTTAACCTGTAAACCACTTTACAGGTGTGCCAGTAAAATTCTGCTTAATCAACTTGGGAAATTAGTGTTTACCAACCTTAGAAAAAAGCTGCCGTAGGCATTGGATAAGATAAATGTGTACATAGCTTCAGGAATAAATGAGATGATTGCACAACTCTGAATATACTAAAAAACCTCTGACTTGTACACGTTAAATGGTGAATGTTGTGATATGTGAATTATAACTCAGTAAAGCAGTTGAAAAAAAAAAAGTAGAGTCAAACACACCAGCCTCCCCATATATTAATTATGACACCTTGGATTAGTCATTGCCCGTGAAATTCCTCATATGAAAAGTGGTAAAGATCACTAATCTCATTGTTTAATTTGCAATGAGAATGTATAAAAATTACTTAGCACCATACCTAGCACACAGAAAGTGATCAGTACAAGAAAAACTGCTATGGAAGATTGTAAGATCATAAACTACAATTTCACAAAGCCAGATTCTGAGGTCTTTTCCCACCTGCCATCCCTGAGGTACCACCCTGCTCCACATGTGAACTCATTTGAGATAAGACATGGTGGCAGAGCATCCTGTGATTTTGGTAAAACATGAATTCATATTTCTTACCAGTTTACAAGTCTCTGATCAGTAATGAAAAGTGAATGCCTCTTTGCAATCGTTTTCTTTCTGTAATTTCCAGAAGCCTGCAGCGCTGACCCTTCAGTGATCCCCCAAATATTTATTTAACACCTACCATGTACCAGACCAGGCCCTGGGGATAACATAATTACACCCCTGCCCATATAGAGTTTACAATCCAACAGTCTGTGAATAAATTCCTGTAATAGCATGGAAAGCATTCTTTGGGAGGCTGCTGGCCACTCCACCTTCTTTAAAAGTAAATAAAAACTGGATGTCATTTACTGAGTGTTTATTATATCCTGGGGTCTGTACTGCACTTTACAATATTAACATTATCTCACATTAATTTAGGAGCTAGGAAGGAGGCAGAGAGTAAGCAACATGCTAACTAACACCTTAATTGGAGCACGGCTGGAATGGGAATTGTATAATTTCAGGGATGGAAGACAATCTGTCACCATATTGTTCACTGGAGTTGATTCGACTGCCTTGACCAGATACACGTCCATATTCCATATGCAACTTTCAGGAACAGATTTGAGCCCTAAAATATAAATATGACTGTCTCTACTAGAATCTGTACAGCGATGGGACCCTCCTGGCATCCACATCCTCTCCAGATCATGTCCCTAGGAGGCTGAGCTGCCTCCTAACTCTTGAGTTAGGAAGTTTTTCTGGCTGGTCTCTCTTCTGCTTCCTGACCCCAAATGGAGATACATGCCTTTAGGCTGGGGGGTGGGGAGTGAGGGGTTGCTGATTTTCTCTGTGCCTGTGGGGCAGACCCTTTGGGGGTCCAGACCCTTTGAAAAGTTGATGAAAGATATGAAAGCTGTCATAGAAAGATTGCTTGGAATTTCTGCAGATACTTCCCCAGGCCATTCCATACGCCCAGGTTAAGAACCCCAGCTTTACTCCTCCTCTCTGTGGGTTCAACTGTACAATATCACACTTAGGGGAACTAGAACACTTGAGCTCTAGACTCCCGTTGGCCTAGTATCTCTAGGTTAAAATTATTAACCTTCTATTGCCTAAGGAATAAAGTCCCTCCCACTAAAAAAAATAATTCCATATAGATAAGGATCATTCTTCAGTCAAGAATCCATGAATTTTTTTCATTAATTAGAATAAATATTGGTTTTTAAACAAATAGAAATAATAGAACTGGGAGCAATACTAAAAGGCCATTTGTCCATAAGCACAGTTATACCCAATCATCCAAGATAGCATGAAGTTTTGTGGAGTTCTTTGGTTGTAAATCTATTTCAAGATGTTGCTGTCACAATGTGGTAGAAGAAGTGACATAACTTCAAGAGTGATGTAACCATCCATCCATCACATGACTTCCCAGTTAAGCACCCCATCCCCATCCCCATCCAGTGAAGCAATAAGATTATTTCCTTAAGGTTTTTTACAGAAAAATG